TAAAATGTAGTGGACCCTATTACAGTGCAACGTTCGATACCCGTTTACGACATAATTCTAATGTTGACCTTTCATCTAAGTTATTTAACCTTCATTTTCCTGTGCTCGGTCCTAGTGCGTTGCGTGATAGTTCGCCCCTTAACAGCTCAAAAGGTTTGCTGCGAATTTCTGCTGCTGCTTTTCCGATTATGGAGGCTGCTTTAGTGGACGAAAAGAACTCATTTGATGAAGTTTGTGCAAACATTATAACAGGCCTAGTGAAGGTTAGGTTCAGTCTTTTGTTAGTGACGTTCAATATCTGCAGAGAGCAATATATTGATACCCATTAAATAAAGCTTGATTAGTCTTCACAGATACTTGAATATTCTTCCTACCCAAAAACTTCATTTTCGCGAAGAAGTGTCAAGCAGTGGTTCTACGGGTCATCCGGAAATGAATTTGTTTTAATAAGTAACTACTTAACGGGTGTGAAAAGAACGCCAAGAAACGCTCTTTGTCAATCCCAACTGTTTTTTAGAAGTAGTTCTTTTTTGGCCAAGATTTTAGTCTTAATGTGTGTCATTTGCCAAACAAATATACGGGGTAACACCTGTCAACAAATATTTGAGCTCTTTTCCTGCGCGAGTTCCAGTCTCTAGGTCTTCAAATTATTCTTCTAGTGTTATTGTGTTTTAATTGTTTTCAGGCAATAAAGAGTGCAGAGGATGTGTTATGTGACCAGAATTTCCTAACAGATTTAGGGACCACATCTAGTGGATTTTTTTCCCTGGCGAGTAAAAGACGATGTAGCAAGACATTGCATTTAGCCATCTCAAACATTAAAGGTTTGCTTCCAGATCAAGATAAGCCTCTCAATAAAAAGCGGAAACAATGATACTTCGAATGTTGTTTGTTGTATTCGTTTAAGAATGTTTACTTAACTCTGGCTACCATTTTATTTCCAAAGGGTTTCTAGCGAACTAAAAGCGTAAAAAAGAAAAAAATCATCAATAACCTGCAAAAATTCACAGTTTCGAAACTTTGGAGTGCATTAGTCAAGAATTTTGTTCAGCTTTTATTTCACTCTAGAACCTTTTGGACTACGTTTGATGTGGTAGGAATGACACTTGCATCATAATCTTCACCAATAAAAATCTTTGATCCAGTAGACGTTAGACCTTCGTTCCTTTGGAAAATGATTTTACGGTTTGTGCGGGTACGATCTTCTGCGTTTTTAAGTATCAAATGCTAGTAAATTTGTTTATTGAACCTCACTTTTTTACAATAAACTTATAAAAAGGAGAGATTTTGATTTACTGGTTTTAGTACAGGGATTTCATGAATAACTGCTGACTAAACAGCTATATGTTGTTCATGTTAAAAGGGTTTTTTTTCGTGGCTGTGATTTTGGAATTTTTTTAGTTATTTTTGGGAGTGTTGTAACAGTTTGATGCGTCTACGATCTGCAAGCCCCTCTCTAACGCATGTCTTTGCTAGCTGAATAGAGTTCTGACGATGTCTTTGAAATTGGCCGAAGTGGTTTTGAGGTGATTCCACAAAAACAGGTCCAGATGTTCCGTCTTTAGCTACCACGGAGTTCACATACTAAGAACTATATTGAAGATGACTCCTGCAACAGACTGTAGGCTTAAGTAAGCGAGAATTTAGTCACAGCCCAGGTCACTTATACCTTGGTAAAGTTTTCAAGAGTACCTACAGGGACCTCTGAAAAACAACCGATTCTGTTGTCTGTTTGTTGTTGATGAAGCAGAGATGTTTTCCAAATGAATTTTTGAATTGGCGCTGAGCCGAAAGAGTGCGTTGGTCTCGGAACGATCGATACTTTAAAAATCGCCTCCTATTCTCTTTGGGTGTCTGCCGATTGCGTTTTCACTTCGCGGAGTGTTATTTTCTGATCGTTGTATATTTAGGCTCGTTTAAGAGTCGGACTTGACTTACAAAATTATTTTTTTTTAGTTGTAAAAGAACTGACCACTTTTACATTCTGTTTTTTATTGATTAGAGAAGTAGGGGATATTAGTTTTCTTCTAGTTTTTCAATTGACAGAGCTTATTCTGTTGACGAAGAACTTTTCAGTCGACTCAATTTTGTTGTTTCTTACGCGGCTGGATTCTTTTTTTTTTCTGTTTACATTTACTGAATGTCATGTTAAACGATATTTTAAGGCTAATTTTTTTCATGATATTATTCTGCGATATGCATTTTTCATTGGGTTTTTTCTTTACATGTCATATACTGTACAGCTATGTGCGTTTGTGAGATATCACTGGTATTTAACTGCGGAAATGAAAGGCTTAATGTGTTTCAGCTTGTCACATTCCAAAATTCGATTTGCTATGTTTCGTCATCCAAATTCCACTCCGTCACGGCCATCGGCACAAGTCAGTTTAATTTATTCCTGCAGTAAACAGTGCTTTTTGCGGTTTACTTTCCTCGAGCAAGGGCATAAAGTTTTAGGGTGACCCAGGTATGCTGAAGCCACCAAAAGCTCCTGATCGTCCACTTGTACCGTATATGCGATACAGCAGAAAGTTATGGGCGAAGGTTAGCATTCGTAAAATGTTCTGCTTTGCATGCCTTTGCAACTTCGCTTTACAGTTAACAGGGTTGGTGCACGTTAAGTAAAACAGATATATAGCTTAGGGTGTTGAGGTGAGCGAAATGATTAGGATGTATAAAAATTAATAATGTAAATTGTTGGTGAACAGTATTGGCATTTTTGTTCATTTTTCTCATGCAAGAGACTTTTTAAGAATTCTCTGTTTGCAGAGGGCGGTGTCTCTTTTTGTAAAAAGGCATTTCTGTTTCGATTGTCCCTTTCGTCAAAATTTGCATTAACTAACAGTTAATTTTTGGTTGTTCCTACATTTAGTAAATTTTGAAACACGGAGTCGTTTGTAGAGGCTTTCGTTAGACGTATACCAGTTACTTGTTAAGGTTAAGGAGGGGGGGGG